TTAAAGTAAAGGAGAACCATACTTGCGTATTGCCTATTTATTGAAGTAGCTTTCAAAGTCCCTTTCTTAGGTTTTTGAACCAAAAAAATGAAATTTTCGCTGAAGTTTGTTAGTGTTTATAAAAATTAATCAACGAATGGCTGTTCATCCATTGGCATGTTAGTATGGCAAATAAAACCTTTCTAATTTAAAATTTCCTGAAATGGAAAAGTCCAAAATACTTTGGAACCGGTTAAATATATTAAACACGTTTTAATGAGTAAATCTGGGTATGTACTGGTGTATAATAAAACTATGTATTATTACTATGATGTTTGCTTTGCTAAGCAAAGAAAAAAGAAGGGAGTTTTGCCTTGCTAAGCAAGAAAAAGAGGGAGTTGCTTTCCTAAGGAAAAGACAATAACTGGGATAGTATTTCAGTCGTAATCATTACATAAGAAATTTTTTCTATCCTGCAGAGGAGCTGTGGAGAAAAATGCAAAGCCAAAATCAAAAGAAATTTCCAAGTCACGTGTCACCAAGAGTGAGATTGGTACCACAACTATTTCACATACAAGAACAGATCAGGAAAATGTCATCGGTAGGTTATAATTACTGGGATACCTGTGGTGTCCCAGTCATAAAATGCGTTTGTTTTTTTCCTGTTTCCTGCGCCACAAATTCGACAAGTTGCGCAATAGTACCCGTGGCTCATTGCTCGATACCATGACAACGAACAGTCCAATTAGGTTGAAGTAGTGAACATACACATAAATATATACACATACATATAAATATATACAAGTATTCACAGGAGTAATATTAATGAGTAATGAAAAGAAAGTTAAAGCTAAATTAATAATTATAAGAGAAAGAGCTAATTTATGGTGTGTGTGGTTGTTGAAGTAGTTAAAACTTTCGAGTCGACAACCACCCATTGTAAGGTTAACTTTTTATGACCAAGAATATAGCTAACTATTTACGCAAGCTGGAGATCCTGATATTTAAAGCTATTCTTTAAAACTAAATTATTTTGAACAATAAATATAGATATAAGTATAATGGGATATATATGATAATGAATATTGTTTAAATTTGGCTACACAATAATACGTAAAAGATTACTGTTATTGCATTACTTTAAACTTGCAGATTAGAACTAAGTGAACTTGGTAAAACTCTTAGACTATCAATCCTTTTGGACAAGTATTAAATGTATTTTAAGATTTTTAAAAAAAAAAGTTTGATTAAATCAAAATTTTTAATAGAGATTGAGATTTCTTCCCATATTTTTGTTATAGAAAATTTCCCATAATTTGTTCTGATAGAAGGACGGACAAGATTGTT